GATTTGCAAAGGCGAAAAATATGGCATCCGATATGAGTCCTTCGCCCTTGGCTTGGGTTAACCTGTCCATAAACACGAGCTTGTTTGTCATGCAAGAGCGGTGTGGGAAGAAATCCGTGTTGAGCTGGAGATATCGGATTGCTGGAAGTAAGGTGATCTAGGATAGCTCGCTTCAGAATGCGTTCCATCACCTTGCACGCCACGCTAGTGAGGCTTATAAGCCTATAGCTGCCAGACGATAGTCGGTCACCAGTTTTGCAGATTGGCGTGACCATCGCTTCCTTCCAAGCAGAGGGAAGGCGGCCTTCGTCAAGCGACTGACGAAACACCAAGTGTAAATGGTTTGCCAGTGTGGAGGACGTTTCTTTCAGGATCCTCGGATGGACCTCGTCGGGTCCCAATGCGCAGAATGGGTTGATCTTGTCCAAGAGTTGACGAATGTCCTCCACCGTGAAGACCAAGTCGGTTAGAGGCTGTTCGTAGTTTCTCCTTGACAAGAGTGGATGTGACGAGGACGCTGGGGCTGAGTATAGACACGCATAGTGTTCTCTGTAAGCCTCAGATACCACTGTTGGGTCATTCGTCGGTTCTCCGTTTCTGTCCCTCAAGGAGAACGCGGATGGCTTGTTCCTGCGGCGATGTCTCATGTATTTGAGCAAGACGTTTTTGTTTTTTCGAGCGAGGTCCAGAATTTTCTATTTGCGGATTTCTGATTTACAGCTGTTTCGCATTTTACAAAGTGCCAGCTCATCTTCTGTATCCACTGTAGTCAACTTTTTGAAAAATAGTTAGGATCTCTTTTCCCAGAATTCGCCGTATCCATTTTGGCAGTCTGCGGTCCATCCGAGTGCTTGCTGGATTTTTGGGACGAACGTCGCGTCAGCCCCGTGAGTTTTCTGGACAATGGTTACCGTCGAAAGCCTCTAAGTCCACTCTAGATAGATCTGCCTTAATCAGGCAAGAAGTCGGTTGGACTGCCAGTGTCTCGTTTATGGGCGTGCTACTTCCCATCCCGGCGAGGTAATCCTTTACCTTAGCCCGTGTGTCAACCTACATACCGACGACGGGATCATCGTCCGAATTCAGCTCTAACTCCGCTGGGCGCACCTCATTACGCGCCCGCATAAGCTGCAATTCTTTTTTCCGTTTCCTCTGCTTTAGTCTGTGCTCGCAACAACGCAGCTAACTTTATTTTTCTATGCTTAGATGAGTCAGAGCCAGGAGACGAACCATAACGGCCGAGTCGCCTTAATTCCTCCGGTAGATAAAGATCCATTGACGGGGCTTTTTCCATCATCTCCAAGTCAGTAGACTGTTGAGTACTGTTACGGCTGTCTGCTTTTTGAGTTTGAGTCACGCGTGCCAATCCACGAAAACGACCAATGAATCCGATTCCTGGAATCACGGTACTATTGCAAAGATAATAATATACATATTCAACAAACCTCAACGGATTCCCCTCTGCAGATACCGTAGGGTTACAAAATAAGTCGGTACAATCACCAGCCTGAGGATGGAGCGCAGATCACTTTGCCTCAAAATCGATATCGTCACAACCAAACAGATATCGACGGCGAGTGACCACAAAAATCACAATGTCCGACCAAAGTCCGTAGGAGTTATAAAAATAGTTTAGTAAAACAAGAAAGTTTCAGTTCATCTGGTCTAGGGGGATAAATATGGGGATTGGCTGTCACATGGGGTTGGAAACGGAAGCACATTGTTGGTAAGCTCTCTTCTACAATACCTGTCTGGGATAGTGACGTTATTGAGAGAACGGTAATCTTTACAAGGTTTCCAATCACCCTTAGATTTCTTTCGTACCATGTGTAAGGGTGATGACCATTGACTTAATGAAGCCCGGATGATGCCGCTTTTGATGTGTTCGAACTCGTGTTTTGTGATTCGGAGCTCGTCCGGATGAAGTCGGTGGATGTTTGTATGAACAGGTGGGCCGCTCGTCTGGATGTGGTGAACGATGGAGTGAGTGAATTGTTGAGTGTACTGACGTGGATGAGTAAGGGTTGGAAAATCCCTAAGTATGTCACCGAAATGGGAATCAACAGTGCAACCAGTGAGTCTGCTTTTTCTCAGATTGCACCATATTTTTGAGACTAAACTTGCCATGTACTCCCAATTTGAATTATCCCATCTCCACCTCCACTTTTACTCGTAGCGACTCCGGCCATTTACCTAACCACCCAAGGTCACGCATGACCAGCAATGGCTTTCAGTTTTAGTTCATGCCACCTGGCTGTCTTTGAACAAGTTGGAACCCATGCCCATCGTTCACAACGAGTTGGGAAATAACCCATTAATACTATATCATCGGATTGTCCCCCACTGTTCATGACATTGTCCTTTTTTGTGCAATCCACACCCCCACAAATCCCCCAGTCANATTATTATTATTATTATTATTATTACACCTCGCGTACCTGTGGACGAAGTGGGAGCACTAATTCCATTGACTGAGAGGGAATTTAGCATGTACAAGAGGCGTTTATGTCGAACATTGACAGATAGGTTGTAGTGCGTTAGGAAGTCTGCACCAATGACGGGTGTTTGGACGTCGGCTAAGAGGAAGATCCACTTGAACGCACGCGCCATCCGAGGTCAAGGGTGAGAAAACGTTCGCCATATGTAGCGATGCGGATACCGTTAGCGGCTTGTTAGGAGAAAGAAGCAGAATCGGTAAGTGAATTCTTATGTGGTAGCACACTCACGTCAGCTCTCGTATCTACGAGGAAAGGTAGACCACTTGAACGATTGGTGATGTGGAATAGGCGACTAGTGCGAGGAGGGTCACAGAAAATCATCGCCGTTACTGACTGGCCGCGCTGTTTAAAGGGGGTTGGGATGCGGCTTGAAGGAAAACGGCGGTTGGGATTTGCGTGCTTGAGGACTGAAAGTTTAGTGATACCAGCACCAAGAAGGGCGGGCACGAGACAACGATCGGGATCGTGAGCGTGGTCGATACCTGTTGACCTCTAGCCGTTGTAGGCGATCGGTCAAAGTATCAAACTTAGCCTGTAGTTGCCATATGGAAGCGAGAATTGGCTCGGAATAGGTAGAAGCAGTGTGTGCAGGGCGGCAGACGGAGTTTACGGGGTTACTGGGGTAGGTTTCGTGTATTTTCTTGGCCATTTGGGCTGGCGGCTCCAAGCTGTGGTGATCAACGAAAGCACTGATGACGTGGGAGATGGAGGGTAGAAGTTTGTCGAACCATGATTGGGCCATGATTTCCACCGCTAGCTTACGGCCGCAGAGAAGACTGCGCATATGGCGAAGCATTTGTGACGGCAACCTGTCACCGAGTTCGCCAGTTTTGATGATGATGGCCTACTGATGACAGCCTACTGATGACGGCCGCTCGAAGGGTGTCATAGGGATTTTCCTTGGGGATATCTTCCAACAGGTCTACATCTGTCGCCACATCACTAATAAGACGATGGACAACATATGAAAAACGGGTGGCTTGGGAGGTGGTGCGTCGAGCCGTAAATTAGCCTCATTCTGGTGAAACCATACTCTGGGGCTGCGAGGATTTTAGTCTCGTAAACGTATGCTGATTGAATTCGTGACTAAATCCGATGAATCGAAATGTACCTCCATAATGACCGGGTAAAAGTAAAAAATTACACGGATTCACGAATTGATAGACAGGACCGATTGCCACACGACGTCTTTAGTGCGTCCTGAGTAGACAACTTGGTTGGCGTATTCCAGGAGCGGTCTGACGTAGGCCCCATAGAGCGTTTGGAATTCGATGAAAGTAAAACTGGAGAAGGTGCTTCGGATCATCCGTCAAATGGCGAATATTCTTTGGTCTTCAAGAGAAAAGTTTTGAGAACATACGAAGAAAGACTCGGGCTCACCAAATTTCTAGTGGTCTGTCTACTCAGGAAGTAACTTTGCCAGTAGTTTTTGCAAAGAACATAAATAACAACGCTAGACTGATCTGGAACAGATTGACCAATAATGACTCTTTTTAAAATGGTTAGCCGTTGGCCCAGGTCGGCGAATAAACAAGAATCTCATCATGGTTGTCCAGTAGTCCTCTTCTCAACAGCCCCTACATATAATAGATACCGAAGATTATCTGAAACGTTTTGATACCAGGGTTAGCACCTGGGACTCGCGAATGACCGGTGCAAGGGCGAGCGAAATCAGAAGAGTGATTCGAAGCACGTGACCACGTTTTTATTGGGCGAAACTGTACGAGTGCGCGTTTTTGTTGTCTTTCGTATTCAAACAAAAAAAGCGGTTATGCAATTGACAAAATACGTAATGTCATAACGGAAGCAAAATAAATGTACAAAACTCCACAGGTTCTCCCATCTCAGTGCATGCATTATTATAGAGTATATCATATACCCCATTTCCCGTGTAAAAATTAAGGATTTGGCTGTCACTCTCCGTTTCCGGTAACTTTCATCGCATATTAGTCGTGTAAATAACTTGCACTTACAAAATGGATATCATTTATTTAGAAACTTTTACACATGGATGCACTCAAACTAATCACACTCTCGCCAGGTTCGCGGACGACCCGGCCAATATCTTTCCTGCTTTTCAGTAATTCTCTGGACCTGAGTCCATGCGAGTTACCTTACGATTGGAATCGACGGTCCTTTCGCTTTTCATACGCCCATATACATAATGTTTATATCGTATTTGCATTGACTCTACTGAACTTATCCTTTTGAACTGGGCTAAATAGCGCGCCATACACAAAAAGTTGTTCGCAGCTGTTTTTAGCCGATTTTTTATACTGCACGTGCATTTCTGTTACATTTCGCCCGTATCAGGTTACCATTTCTCATGGATGTAACCAGGCATTCTCTCCGGGCAGATTGTTTCACACGTGCATTTCCCCCTGTTTTCACTGGAATGTACAACCCATCCGGATAATATTGTGGTGGGCGTAACATTTGGGCCCTTGGGAGGTATGAGGTGATCTTCCAGGGTCTGTTTTGTTTGATACAAATACTGAGAACATGGAAGGGGTGTTGAAAGCGCCACCAGACTCTACCAACAGTGATTTGGCTGGTCCACAAGAAATGAACGACACGGATTCAGCATCTGCTATGCAATCGAACAATTCCGTGTCAACTTCTCCAACATCAAAGTGCTTACCATTTCGTGACCCCTATCTTCCTGAAGACGATGGAACTATTCTCACACCAGAGCATGCATTTGTGCAGTACCAGACAAGATCGGAGGACCAAGCTTGTCAAATATGTGGTCAGCCTGCAGTCGGTTTTCATCATCGCGCTTATGTATGTGAGGCGTGCAAGGTAAGACTAATTTTTCAAGCGTTAGATGTGGACCCACAAACTTTCTGCTAATGTATGGTGCTGAGCCTTGGTGACTTTTCGACGTTAAATATAATCGTTCAATTGTAACACCTTTTCGGTGCCTAGCTAACGTGCCACCCGACGGAAGCACGAGGTCCGGGATACAGTCAGCTTCCCCAAGCCCTGGCGGGAAGTTAAGAGGCAGAGGTCGGGTTTGAACCACAGACCTTTCGGTCAGTAAATTCGTTCTGACTACTGGGCCATCTCGCCCTCTTCAACGTTCATTGAGAACAAGGTAGGGGAAAACTTCCTCAAAATCCTCAACCATGTGTTACTGTGTCCCCCGATGGTTGTCACCATTTTCAGCACAGAATGATTTACTCTAGCGGGTTTGTGACCGCAGTCTCTTTTCACCATGTAAGTCCGCAGGAAATTTCAATAATTACGTCGCCCCAGAAGACCCATACATCACCGATATCTTATGGCTTTTTTCTTTTTCAACAAAGACTTGTTTTTGACGACCCACCCTATTTTCCCAGTTTCGTCTTGCTAACTGACGGGACCAAATGGATTTAGCAGACTCAAGAGGTATTTTCACACGTAGACAAGGTAACATTGTGTAACGTAAATACGGTGGACCTAAAGTACCTGTAGAGCCTGATGAACATGAGTTGTATCACGGTCCAGATTTATCCACCAAATAATGTTTGCCATATTCTGCCTTCTTTTATTCGTAGACGTGCAGATAAACACACTAGCTTTACTTGGATATTTATGGAGGCACACTGTCAGCTGTAATAACCGTGTACTTGTCGTACAGTGGCTGTAGTTGCCACCGATAATTCGGTGGTAGGTAGGTAGCTGCGCTTTGAAGGTCGATAAATTAGTGCGTAAATACAGTACTGTAGGTGGACTGTTAAATGGGGAGATTGGGAAGGGAGTTATGCATTGAAGGCAATAAACTGTTAGTGAGGGTTGACTTCCACAAGTGGGGTATGGGTGGTTGGCTGGGGACGTTAATGGCCTTCATTCTCCATTTTCGATCCAGTGCACACGTTAGTGTGCACGTGGTAGGGTTCACTGTAAACTCTTTAGACTTTTTAATAAATCTTGGTTGCTAGATGCTGATGCGGTATGGTTAAAAGCTGGTGTTGTTGCTTATCATAGACGCTATTTCGTTGCAACTGTACAGAGATAGATGGTGATATGTCTTATTGCACTCGGTTCTTTGGAACGAGACGAGATGGCTGTGGTTAGAGCGTGAATTTACTGACCGGAAGGTTTGAACCCGACCTCTGTCTGTTGACTTACCCTGTCTAGGCTTGGGCAACCTGGCAGTATCCCAGCCCTCGTGCTTCCTTCGGGTGGCATGGCAGCTAGGCACTGGAAGGGTGCTACAGCTTAACGCTTCTTTTGATGCATTCTGACCAGTTCGTCTTTCGAGAGTGAATTATTTCTTCCGAATACCATTCAACATACTTCAGAATTGCTGATCCGGTGTCCCCGCCAGATTCGGGCAATGTTCCGAAGACAGAGATTGTCAAACACTGAAAGTCTTTTGATGTCCTTGGCGCGCAGCGGCTAGGTTTCTGATCCGTATAGTAATATGGAGCGCACTGCAGCATTGTAAACTCGACCCTTGATAGAGAAGCTGGTGTCAAGTCTACGCCACAGGCTTTACAGGTTCACGAAAGCTACTCTGGCCTTCCAAATCCAGGTGAAATTATTAGCTTTCGCGGGAACACCGGGACTGATGTTGCTGCCCAGGTTAACAAATTTGTCTACTACCTCGATCGGTTCATCCGCGGATGAACATCGGATGAGGCTAGGGTTCCAGCCCATCCAGTCTTGCAGCTTTGAAGCGCATGAATGCAAGGGCATGCTAATTTGTAGTCCGGTGAAAGACTCGGTCTCTCCCATGGCGAATTCTATAGAAGGTCATGAAAACGATTACAATGAGTCTGGATACTGTTAGTGAGGGTTGACTTCCACAAGTGGGGTATGGGTGGTTGGCTGGGGACGTTAATGGCCTTCATTCTCCATTTTCGATCCAGTGCACACGTTAGTGTGCACGTGGTAGGGTTCACTGTAAACTCTTTAGACTTTTTAATAAATCTTGGTTGCTAGATGCTGATGCGGTATGGTTAAAAGCTGGTGTTGTTGCTTATCATAGACGCTATTTCGTTGCAACTGTACAGAGATAGATGGTGATATGTCTTATTGCACTCGGTTCTTTGGAACGAGACGAGATGGCTGTGGTTAGAGCGTGAATTTACTGACCGGAAGGTTTGAACCCGACCTCTGTCTGTTGACTTACCCTGTCTAGGCTTGGGCAACCTGGCACTATCTCAGCCCTCGTGCTTCCTTCATGTGGCATGGCAGTTCGACATCGAAAGAATGTTACACCTGAATGATTATTATTCTTTGGAACAGTAGACTGTAGTGACTGATCGGGTCTGTCAGGTTCCACCTATGGCGACCGTGGTACCTGTGTGTCCTAAAAATCCAGTACGAATGCTTGGACTACCCTCATGAGCCTTAAGTAACGCGAATGTCTAAATCAGAGATGAAGATGAGCATCACTGATGTAGTAACGTCACCGTCCCCATCGATGTTAATTTCTCTCACCTGCTTGCAAACCACGTTTCAAAATTAGAAACTTGTTCACAACACCAACAAATGTAGGATTAAAACTACTGTATCCAGTTTGCCATTATCTGTTGACGTTTGTGTCAACGACTGTTCGTTGCCTTGAGTAAACTACACAGACTCCCCTGTTATTATTATTATTATTACTATTATTATTATTATTATCTTGACAGCACTTTACCACTAATAATGCTGGCGCTCTATTGCCGTACAACAGGTGTGGGGGGAAGAAAGCCTTCGTAAAGCGTGAAAAGAAAAAGCAATAGTAGGGAGATAGTGCGAAGAAGCTATATATCTCTAGGTTAGACGATCAAGAATAAGATGCTTACGTATTTGGACACATCTGAGCAACTTGTCGATCACCATCTTCGTCATCATCGACAGCATGGCATCAGTGTTCAACACCGATGCTTCACTACCGTTCAACAACTTGTCGAATTAAGGCGCCATCAGCGTGATTGGCTCAGTCTCCTTTGCGAACCTCACCAAACGTAAGGCCAACGCACAACGAGAGGTTAACCCCAGCTAGGCAGTCTGGCTTGAAAATAATAGCATGCGTCCCACGGAATCGGTTGTGTCATGTCCCACAGAGTTCCCAACCATCTGCAAGCAGCATCATGTGGGCCACAGCCAGAAAGTCACCAAGATCCTACAGTATTCACATGAACTGTATTCACAGTCATCTCACTGCCGTGTTGTGACCTGTTCCCCCGCAGACCTTTTGCCAGCAGTTGCTCGGTACAAAAAGCAGCGATTTCTTCACTAGACGGTGATTTGATAACAACCTCAATCTGGTAAGTTCGATCTTCTGTTCTAACGTTTCGGGTTTATCACCGAGTACCCCTCACCTCGTCACGTACTCTCTTTAGGCAGCTAACTCTTGCTATGCTACGGAGATACCAGTGAATAGAAGTCTGATGACACATTAGGTCCTCGCATTTGAGGGACTAAGTCCCACCACTGTAAACTAAGATCTCTATTATGGTTGCCTTGTTTACTCTGCCCTGTAATCTTAGTGAATTTCGGATCTGACCCTTAAATGACGCAGGATTGCAAATGCCGCTCGTGCCTGGTTGCCCGCGCATTAACTTCATCTCTTACAGTACAGTCACGGCTCATACATCTGCTAAGATAAGTGAATCAATAAACAAACTTCTGTTAGTCATCATCGGAGACAGCAACATAAGCGTTTCACTGCCCTCTAGCCACAAGGTTCATCTAATTATATTTAAAGCCCTAGAATGGAAAAAAACAGAACGGAGTGGGTGAGGGAAGGGGCCTGTTACTGGCCTATCTCAAGTATTCTGGGATGCCTACACTTCCAAGCTTAGTCAAGCAATCTGAAAAGAAGCCGACAGCACGAACTCCGCTCCTATCGATCAGCTGCCATTTCTTGCCTGCCACTTCCAGCCAAGCTCAGAAGAAGTCACGAAGGTCCATCCACCCATCCTGGAAGGTGGACAAAACCAACAACACCCCAGCTCTTCGCTGGGGCGATATAGCCCAAGTGGTTAGAGCGCGAATTTACTGACCGGAAGGTCCGTGGTTCGAACCCGACCTCTACCACTCGACTTCACCTGTCTAGGCTTGGGCCACCTGGCAGTATCCCAGCCCTCGTGCTTCCGTCAGGTGGCATGGCAGCTAGGCACCGGAAGGGTATTACAGCTGAACGATTTATTATTTTTATTTTTTAAGCCCTTCGTAATCTGACACCTTTATTTCAAGTCATACGTTGTCCACCTCGCGCCTTGCGCCACTCCGAAAGAAGCGCGGAAAACGGTAGACGGTGTTTCCGCATGTGTATCACGCAACCGAGCCACCGCATTTGGTGGTACTGGCTGTTTTCCGCGATCGAAGTACCTGTTGCACGACCAAACACTGGTCTTCTAATTGCTTCGTTACGTATTCGTTGATACCATCCTGCACGATCAATGCTTCTGGGGCATCGGTGGTCAAAAACCTGCGAACGCCTCACATCATCTGTCCTCAGATGCCAGGTTTCGCAACCGCACAATAACGGCCCTCACTGCAGCCTGGTACACGCGACCCTCGAGGTCCAGTGCTATACGCCATAAGTGACGCAAATTAGCAAACATGATTCTGGCTCTTACGATTTCCGCATTAACTTGATCAGCTACTTCCGTGAGAAGTAACACGACTGCCAAAGTATGCAGACTTATCCACAATCTCTAGTGGTTATCCTTGAATTGAAGGGGATACGTTCAGAAACTGCACGTTGTGAGGCATGGATTCGCACTTTGAGGGTGCAAGACGCATGTCAAAAGATGGTGTGATTGTGATCAATATATTCGGTAGAGTTTGTGCTTGTCCTGCATCTTCAAACATGAAGA